ATTATAAAACAACCAAAGGGATCTACATCCGGAACTGTCTTCAGCATGAACTTCCAGCTCCAAATTGGAAGAGACGTTTGCAGATGGGGACACACAAGTACATGCATACACATGCACGGACTCCAAACACCTGTAGTTCCTGGCCCCAGAACACAACCCCCCCCCAAAAAAGCTACTTATAGGAACGTAATATGAACAAATACGGCTACATACATAAGAGCTCAGGTCGTGTCTCGCAGCCTCCCATATGCATCCGAACAGCCACTGTCTTGGCTGGTCGTCTGAGGTCAAATTTGGAAACCAGCGAGGCAGAAAGTTTGAGACCGCTAAGCATTTCAAGCCTCTTGCAGCGAGCAAAGGCGGCTGCCTGTCTGCTCGCTTAGGCGAAAGGTCAGGACCCGGTTTTTCTTCTTGGATGGAGTTTTTTTAAGGGCCTATACGCCGGGAACTTTCCCCACAAAGGAAAGGTGGGTCCGAGGACGGCGCAGATCTTACAAATACATACATGCATACACGCATATAAACACTTTTGCACACCACACCCGCGGCTCCTTCGGGCTTGCCAGGACCCAGAGCAGGGAGCGCAGGGTCGTGACCCCTGGCTCTGCCCGAGCGCGCCCTTCGGCCCCTGCAATTAGCGCCAGGAGGTCAGCAGGAACCCGGACGCCTTCAGCCGCGGCTTAAAGCCTAGCAAAAGGCGAGCCCACCCCTCCAGTTCGCCGATTGCAGACGCCAGGGCTCAGCCCGACTGGGAACCGTCCGAAGGGGAGGGGGCGGAGGGCTCCAGCTGGCACCCGCATTTGTCACCTTAAATCTCCATATGACCAAGTCGCTGGGCCCCGCAGGCCGAGGTGGCTGACCCCAGCCCCAGCCGGGACCTCAAGAGTGGCTGCTCCCAAGAACTGTGGCCTTTGTCCCTGTAGACGCGGCCAGATTAAAAAATAAAAATATTCCAAAGTTCTAGAGGAAGGAAGGGAGCTTGTGAGGAAAGCGAAGTCGCAGTAAGGGGAGATACGGAGGTGTAAGTTGGGGACGTGGAAATCCTTTCTCTTCCCATCTATCCACCCGGGATTCAGGTGGAGGACAGGGGTGGGGTCTGCCCGAGATTCTACACACAGCAGCAAGGTACTTGGCGACGGGACGAGGCGCAAACGTCTTCTCCCTGAATTACCAAACGTTCTTTGGAAACACAAGGGCTTGGAAGGACTGTTTTTCTCATCTGAGGCCCAAGGAGAAGTGAAAGCGATACCCAGGAAAGAGAGGAGGGTCGCCTCTTCCGAGGCTGGGGCTGGGTCGGGGGAGCGCGCGGGCTGGGGGTGGTGGGATGAGAAAGGCACCAACTTGAAGCTCTGGATCCGGGGAGGCGCGGGGAGTGCAGAGCGAGCGTCCGCTGCGGCGCATTCGCGGGTCAGACAGATAGGTGGCACTCGAAGCCCGGGGAAAAAAAAAAAAAAAAAGCGAAGGCGCCGGCCCGGAGTGGCCTCCGCGGCGTCCGCCGCCCCACCATAAAGCCTGCGGCGAGATTGCGACCGGCGCCAGGTGAGTAATAGACAACGAAATCCAGAGAGATTGCGAGCAGTTCACCCCGTCCATCAGCGCCACAAGAGTTACTCATTAACATCACTATATACAAATCAGATACACAGGAGATTAAAAGGAAAAAAAAGGAAAAGGCCAGTCCCGAGGAGAGGCAGGACCCACGCGTCTCAGCACCGTCCCCGAACTGGGGGGTGGGGAGGGACAGAGGTGAACGAATCTGGACAGAAAGAGCCAAGCGCAGCGTTTCTTCCCTCATTGAGGCGCAGTGGTTTTCTCTCCCACCTGAGAGTGCAGCTTCTCAGGGGCGCAGGCACCGCGCGCAATCGTGGGGCCAAGATCCCGCCCGGCTCTCAGGCTCCTCTGCGCATCCGGCGCGCGCCCTGGGGAACTCTGGCTCCACCTGGGCGCTAACTCCTCAAAGGCCCCCAGGCTGTGTGCTCTGGGCCTCGGAGACTCCCCCACCTCCACCTTGTCTCCCCCGCCCCCACCCCAGGAGTGCGGTGGGGGTCCCCACGTGCTCGGCCGAATGGAAAGGGCTTTGCCCCCCTCTCCAAACACCTCCCTCCCGATTCCCTTAAGATGGGAGGGGATCCTTTTCGCCTGCCATTCGGCCGGCTCCTAGGTGACAGGGACCTGGGGCCAGGCTGGCGGACTTCGGGGATGGGGGGAAGGGGAGGCAGCCGCCAAGCAGACTCCGACTGGGTCCTCACGTCACGGCCCCCAGGGCAAGAAAAGGCCTGGGGACTGACTAACCCTCCAGAACCTTCCAGCCTTCTCCCCGCCCCCCTCAACACACCTCTGAGGCGAGGCTGGGGGGTGGGGAGCCTGGGAGACCAAAAGACCGGCAGCCGCTTCACCATTTTTTATTGAATGTTTCTAAGATAAATTGAACTTCAAAAGGCAACTCCCCGAACTGCCCGGAGACGGGTTGGAGGGGAGAACTGTGGAGGGTGTTGGCCGCCCGGCTGACTTTTCCCCCGGAGGGGGTCAAATATGCGACCTGGAATTACCTTTCTCGTGCAAAGACTTTCCTGGCAGTTACCTTTTCCCTTGCAGGGCCCAGCTCAGTGTGCGCCGAATGGCCGCGCTTCCCAAGTGCAACCTAGAGAAAGGATGGAGCCTTGTAGGGGCGCCTTGGGTCAGCCCGGTCCAATTGGGACCCCAGAGACTGCTGGCGGTGGGGGGGGCGGACGTGGAGTCTCTCGCCCACTTCTCCAACATCGAGGTCTGGCTGCGCGCGGATTCTGCTAGTCTTTTCCCGCGCCAAACACTGGTGAGGGGAGGTTGTTTTTGTTTTTGTTTTTTACCGTGGATTCTTCCAGATCAATGTGGAAAGGGAGAGCAAGTGAAAACGAAAAAGTTCGCAGTTCCTGAACTCATTTTTGGCGGCATTCGTGTGGGAAAAGGTGACTTGGGGAGCGAAACAGTTTTTCCCCAGTACAACTTAGTATCCGAAATTGCTAGTCTATCCGATTTCCAAGCGCCCCTCCCCCAAATTCCGTCTCCGTTTTTACTCCCTAATTTAAAGGAAAAGTAATTTCAGATCGAAGCGGCTCCCTTTGCCAGAGTAAGGGACTTTTGTTTTTAGCTTTGTAACTTGAGTGACAACTCTTCTTGGTTCACTGGGGGCGGTCTTAATATTTAAAGGCAAAGACCAGGGGGGAAGGAAGGAGGGGTGGGTGGGAAGGGATGGAATCCTCTCTTCACCTTCACAAAAGTTAGTTTCCTAAAGAAAGCAATTAACATGAGGCCCAGAGACATTTCAATAAAAATTTATTGAAATTTCGGTAATGTTTTTTTAAAGAGAGGGGAAAAAAAATACAGAAAACCAAAGAACTCATGAACAATTGTAACACAAAATATACCTTCATGATTTTTTTTCCTTTCAATCATCTTTCAGCACCTGACTCGTGAACTGTGAATATCTCTCGAGGCAAAACACCATCAATATCGACAACAGCAGTAAATACCACCTTGTTTTGAGGAAATGGGAAACTAGCAGATAGAAACATAGAAGAAAAACAGACCATCCAGGCAGTCTCTGTACTATCCTCCCAGTCCCCCCAGCAACTTTGGCATCACTCCTGGGGAGTTATATTTTATGGAATTGATAGGAGAACCTGGGGAGTGGCACCCCTCTCCCCAATTTTGGCTAAAACAAGCAGTGGCATTTCCCTCCACTCTTGGATGTAAAAAAAAAAAAAAAAAATTAAATTAAAATTTTTGCAGGCAACTCTTTCGAAAATGTGTTGGTGCAGCTTTAAAGGGTGTTTTTCAGTTTTAAAAGCGATCCGGTGGCCTTGAAGTCAAACTGACTAAAGGGGCAACAAGGACACGAAAGCTTGACAGTGGGAATCCTATTTACAGAGAACTATGTACAATGTCAATAAATTAAAATCGAATTTCCAAGCATTCATATTCCACCTATTTACAAGAGTTATCAAATAATTACATAAATACTTTGTCTAATAGTCTCGCTTCTTCTTTATTATTTTTAAAACCTTGTCATTGCATATACAGGAAAAAGAAAGAACTGCTCGAGAGACATGTATCTGGCCACAGAGCTTCCATCAAATAAATTCATTGGCTGTGTTTTCCCCAACCCCCCTTCAACTTCTCCGGACTACACACACACATACACACCTTGGGGTTGCCAATTTGAGGGCTAAAGATTGGGGAGCAGGGGTTGGGAGTCCTGTTGTTTGTTTTTCTTTTTTTTTCTCTAAAAGCAAGCGTTCAAAAAAAAAAAAAAAAACCCACAAAGTACATTACCGTGGAACATGCAAGAAGAGACCTATAGCGCCTCTTAAAACATCACAAGATAGTAAAAAGACACAGATTTCCTTAATATAGACTAAACAAGGAGGGCCGGGGACCTCCCTCCCCAAACAAGGTTGCTCGTAATTTATTAAGAACTGATATTCGAGTCAATCAATAGAAACTTTTTAATCCCCAACAGAATCACGTTCATGTATTCATTTGTCCCCATTATTTTAGTATGTTATACGTTTTTTTTTTTTTTTTTCTCTCTCTCACTTGACAGCGAAGGAAAAATAGGAATCCCCGCGGGAGGAGATAGATGCTTTTCCACATCTCACCCCATTGGTGGGCTTGGCTATCTTTTCTCTTCCACAGCTCCCAGCCCTTGCCTGGCTAGAAGCTGCTCTGGGCAGAAATGCTTTCCACTCCCACCCCCCGGTAGCGCAACGCAACAGACGCTTCTGGGCCCCCCAAACCTGGGCCAGATCCCGGATGTACACCCGGTACAGAGACCACGCCAAGAGGACTGGGCTTGTCTCTAGCGCATTCTCTCGGGGACTCAGGGACCCCTTCCCAGACGCGCCTGCCCAGTGGAAGGGCTAAGCTCATGGCACCCCCCCCGCGCTCTATCTTATTACACCCAAGAAAGTGCTCTGCAGACTCGACTGGACTGGAATGAAGAGACTTTTCTGGGGACGGGCTTACGGGGATGCGCTGCGGGACCTGTCGGGCTTGGCTTCCAAGCCGCTGACCAATCGCTGGATACTCTGCAGCTCGCTGGTGGCCGCCTCCTTCTCCGCGCAGAGTTTGGGCGACATGGACACGGAGCTGGAGGAGAGCGTGGAGGAGCGGCTGTTGAGTTCCGAGCCCGAGTCCACGGCCGCCGAGGCCGGGCTAGCGGCCAGGGTGGCGGCTTTGCCGTCCAGAGGCCCCGCGGCCGCCGCCATAGACGGCAGGGTGGTGAGCAGGCCGCTGCTGTCAGGCACCGGCACGGGGATGGAATAGGGGCTGTAGCGCAGGCGCGGACGCATGGTGTTCAGGTTCAGGAAAGGGTGGCGGTGCACCGAGTTGGAGGCTGCCGCCGAGGAGGCAGCCGCCGCGGCCGCCATGTATGTGTAGGGGTAGGGGAACAGGCTTCCGAAAGGCGACATGGCCAGGCCCTGGGGAAGGAAGAGCAAGACAGGCCTGAGTCAGAGGGTGGGGAGGGGCCCAGTGCACCCACCCCCAAAATAACTCCTTTGGACAATCATTAATCCTTCTCCATTGATGGGGAGGGGGAAGGCAGGGAGAAGACTCAGGCTGCCTTAAATTCAAACGTTAGCTGTGTCACCTCAGGGCAAGCGACATCTCTCTAGGCCTCAGCTTTCTTATTAAAAAAACCAAAACCAAACTCACTGCCACCGAGTCGAGTCCGACTCATGGTGACCCTCTTTGGGTTGCCGAGGCGGTAAATCCTAACGGAAGTACATTGCCGGCTTCCTTCCGCGGAGTGGCTGGTGGGTTTGAACCGCCAGCCTTCTGGTTAGCTGTCAAATGCCTTAGGCACTATGCCACCAGAGCGCCTTCAGCTTTCTCACAGGCAGAAAAAAACGCACAGGAAAATATTAAGTAATTGATATACTTATGGAGGACTTTGGATGGTAAATGAGTTTCTTCTTGTTAGTTGGTTGCCCTCCAGGTGATTCTGACTCATAGCGACCCCTGGCGACAGAGTAGAACTGCCCCATATGGTTTTTCTCTGGCAGAGCTGCTAGGTAGATTCGAACCTGCCAATGTTTCAATTAGTAACCAAGTACTGATACACCTGGGAGCTCTGGTGGTGTAGTGCCTCAGGCATTTGCTAAGCAGAAGGTTGGTGGTTCAAACCCACCAGACACTCTATGGAAGGAAGACTGGGCAATCTACTTCCATAGAGATACCGCCTCAGGAACCCCAGGAGGGGTCACTCATTGTAACTCCACCACAGCTGAGTTGTTTTTTTTTTTTTTTTTTACTGGTAGACCTGGCCCTCCAACTCCTAGCGACCCCTCCGTGGGTTTCCGAGGCAATATCTCTTATAGAAGTAGATTGCCCAGTCTTCCTTCCGAGGAGTAGCTGGTGGGTTTGAACTGCCAGCCTTCTGGTTAGCAGTCAGATGCCTTAGGCACTATGCCACTAGAGCTTCCATACCTGACCCTAGGCCCATTAAAAATTCTCACATCAGGGTGAGTAGCTGCACCTGTTAAATGGAACTACAGATTTGGGGTGCCCCACAAAGGTGGCTGAGTGGAAACCAGAGGGCTTATGTTATGTGACATGAATTAGGATCATTGTTCCATTCTTGCACTTGCCCCACACCTACCCTAGAAAACCCAAGGAAGATCTTAACCAAAAAGGAAAGACAGGGAAGGGGGGGAGTCAAAGGACGTTTGCTATAAACGGGAACAAAGATATCACCTAGCCTATTAGGTGGTGTTACAGGTGGAAAAACTGCCTGTAAGATTCACTCAGCTAGTTAGTGGCAAAAACCAATCTTCAAATTCAAAGGTCGTGGTTGGGTCCAGTTCTCTCTCTGGTAGTAAGTGCTTCTTGGCCTGGACAGCCCCTGGCCCACCTATGTCTACCCACCTCCCACAGGGTCTTCAGGGGGAAGCCAGCAGAGGAGATAGGAAAGTGAGAGAGGCCAGAAGCCAACCCTTTCCTCAGTACCCTCCCCTCAAAGTGGAGACCGGTCTTGCCTTTTGGCTCAGAAAAGGGAGACGAATTCACTCAGACAAAACAGAAGGCCAGAGCGTGCAGAAGCCAGGTTAACCGGCTCAGAGCGTCAGCAGTGGCCTCCGACTTCTCCCCGCCACCCGTCCCTCAGCATGTCTGAGCTCTGCAGGGCAGCTGGGCCTGCCCTAGCCTCTGCCTGTCTGCTCCTCTGACATTTCCCACACAGGCACAAGCTCTTAACCCTTTGGGGGAAAGGGCTGCCCCACTGGGGAAGGGGAAGGGAAAGAGCTGTGAATTGGGCAGAAAGACTGAAAGGAATAATCAACTTCTACCAAAGGCTCACTTTCCTTTTTCCCAGGCCTCATCTTCTGGTCTCATTCCTGGGGGAGAGCTGGCTAGGAAACATTCAAGAGACCTTTCAACTCAGGAGCTCAAATCAGAGCTTGCCATGGGATCTGGTGTCAGATTCCTCCACCTTCCAGCTGAGTAACCTTGGGCAAAGTACCCAACATCTCTGGGCCTTCCTCTGATGTTTTGGATTAAAGGAGTCAGGTTAGATCAAGGACTTAGAAGTGTCTGGCACAGAGGAAGTGCTGCGAGAAGCCACTGTCATTATTCCCAACTATGTACAGTGCTGGAAACAACTCTTAATGTAGAAAAATATTTTTATAAAGTTTTTTTGGAGAGAGGTGAGTCTGTGATAAATCAACGAGCTAAGCTTGCCACCTAATAATGGCTCAAAAAAAATTATTTAAAGCTACTCGGCAAGGGGACTAGGTGAGGGTCTGGAATCAAAAGGCGGGAAGGAAAGAAAGAAGGGGAGGGGTGGCAGGACCCGTACAAGTACCTGAGAAGCCAAGACGTGCTGCTGGAGGTGGAAGGGCAGGGTGGCCGCCGACGCTCCCGACAGTCCCTGCGCCGCCGCAGCGGAGGCCATGGCTGTGGAATCCAGGCCCGAGACGCCGGTCGAGGCTCCCGACACGGTGGCCAGTAGGGGCCCCATGCCAGCAGCCATGCTGGAGAAGGCGCCCCCCATGGCAAACTGGCCTGGGTGCAGGAAGAGCGGGTGCCCGTTGAAGAACTGCTGGCCCGCCAGGCCGGGGGCGAAGCCGAGCCCCGGCAGGGGGCCCTGGCCCAGGTGCGCGGCAGCCGCGTCCGTCTGCACCGTGAGTGGTGCGAAGGCCTCCTTGCCCGGCAGCGCGCGCGCCTCCTCGGCCTTGGCCGTCACCGCCCCCTCGCGGCCCGGGCTCCGGCGCTCCTCGGCGCCCAGGCCACGGGTGCTGGATGAGATGGTGGCCGGGCTATGGCGAGAGTCGGGCGACGCCTTGTCCAGCCGGCCGCTGTCCCGGGGCCGGCCGCCGGGCTCGGCCGCGAAGAGGTGCGCCTTGGCAGCCGGGCTGCTGTTGTCGCGACACGGCTCCTCCGACGTGGTGGTGGAGATCTTGGCCGCGTCGCAGGCCTCGGGGCCGTGCTCCTCTTTGCTTTCAGCCTCGGCGTCGCTCTCGGCCTCGCTGGGACACAGATCTACCATGGGGGCGGGGGAGGTGGGGGACAGGCCTTTAGCTTCATTTCAGTTCCCGTTGGAATCCCAGCTCCTCCGCCACTTACTAACTGTGCAACTCCCAACAAGTCCCTTAACTTCTCTACACCTCAGTTTTCTCATCTGCAAAATGGGACTACTAATAGCTGACAACTTGGTTGAGAGGATTCAGGAAAAGCTAATAATAGTACATTGGAGGTATTTAAACCCAGCTGACCACCCACCTTTCAAATCGGCAGCTGTTTGTTATTTATGATGGTCTTTTTCTTTAAACAAGCATCTACTCAGTTTCCACTGTGTCCAGCACTGCCCATACATGCACGTTCTCATTTAATTGCAAATTCACATTTTTAAAAAAATCTGGCTCACTCTAAATTCACTGCAGAAACACACTCTACTTTCCAAGTCTTTTGTTTACTGAGTGATGGAGGTCGGCACCTTCCACATATTTGTGAATTATTTTGGAAGGATTTGTTTGACCAGAACCCTGACATCTGAATTCGTTAATGGGAGCAATGGGCACCCCTCCCGCACAGTACGCACTCAATGGAAGCTTCCCTGTGTTTGCCCCTGTCACTGCAGACAGAAAGGGGTGATGGAGACAACCATAGATGCTTTCCCCCCTTCACCACACCCTCTACGGGTGTTCCATCAGCCACAAGAGTAAAAGGGATCCTATTTGATGTTCAAAGCTGAAATGGATTAAAGACATAAAGGACTTTCATTTTATTTCACTTAAAAACAGGTTTCCCATTGAGAAAGCGTGTATGTGTCTTTCCATATAAATACTGCTTGCTCTTTAAACACAGGAAACGGGCCGGGGATTTGAATCAGCTCATTCATCCCCTCCCCCTCCTCGCTCAGATCCCTGGGGCTCTACCTGACCCTACCCCGCCCCCCAATAGGTCAACCATGTCTCTCCAGTGTTCTCAGCTACCTTCCCTGTTACAGGTGACAGAAAATCCCCTTCTCGGCCTGTCCCCCACTGGCCAACACATTTTAACCTAGAGTTCAAAGATGGCCAGAAAGTCAGTCAGTCACTAGGTTGATATGAGAGAGAGAGAGATAAGAGAGACATGGTCCAGGCCCATTTCAGAACTGTCCCCAGAGACGGAATATACAGACACTCCCCTCTCCAGCCAAATCAAGGTTTGGAGAAGTGGTTCTGAGTGCTCCTTGTACCCTTCCCAATGTGGCTCCTGTTTATGGAACTTCTAGAGGCTCTGTAGCTTTTGGGAAGTCCCCTGGCCGGTGTCACCCACAACCCCTTCCACTCCTCCCAGGCCCTGAGGACCTGCGGTCATCACAGAGGTGACCGGGCTCACCTTTGAGATTCGATGTCCCCACCGTGGACACTGCAGGGGATGAAGACTGGGCAAAGCAGTTGAAGGCGGCCTGCTCGCTGGAGGATTCATCCGAGGTCCCATTCTCCTTCTTGTGCCTTTCGTCAAACACCCTCATGGACTGAAGGGTCAGCTGTTTTCTGTGGCAGAAGCCCACACCCAGTGTTAGAGAGCGTAATCCATTTCCCCTCTTTGTTTCTCTCTGGTTGCCAAAGAGGCACATATACACCTCACCCTGACCACACTAATTCTCTGAAATCAGCCAGCCCCAGGCTGGCCACACACACACCCAGCCATTGTCCCTGACCCTCGAACTGGGCAGAAGGGACAGTGTGGCAGAGGAGGGCAGAGGAAAGAAGGTGGCTTTGGTTGGGTTGGTTCCAAGGTGGTTCAGTGGGGACAACTACGGAAGGGGCATTTGCTTGGGCTTTGAAATTTTTAAACCAAAGGTCGAGGTTGGAGCTGGCAAGAACCTGCTCAACAGCTGGCCTCACAGAAGGAGGGGAATGGGAACATAATGTCTGCCCTCAGCCTACCAAGCTCCTGAATGCCTGTACGATTGCCAGGAAGTGGTTATTTCATGGTGCACTTTACTGTAATCGCTTCACCAACACATTAATTGGAGTAAAAATCTAGTTAGATTTTAGAACAACTTTGTAATGCCCACCCTGCCCCCAAGGGCATAGGTTAAAAATCTGGGTGATTTTAGAAATTCTTGGAAATGGGGTGAGGAGGGGGACAGCTTCTTTCACATACTATCCAGCTGTCTCCTTAATGCAAAATGATCCGTAGACACATGAAGGAGGGAGCTCTAGTCTTCTCAAGGGGCCTTGGTTCTGTCTGGTGGCATTTGGAAAACAAGACTGCAGAAATTCCACAGCGTGCTGTGAATGGCTTAGTTCTTTTTTGGGACTTGCCCAGGAAGACCTGAAATTAATCAGGAATTAATACACATCCTTATAGAATCTGTAATCCCTGAGACTTTTCTTCCAGAGATGACTAAGGTGTCACCTAGTTAATTTCCTTCAAGGTAACAAGTAGGAGGTAGGAAATGTCTAGCATCTGTAAGCCACTGGCAGGGGTGGGGGGAGGTAAACTGTTCCTGCATGTTTCTCACCTCACTTCCAACACTTGGAACCTGAGGGCTCTAAGAAGGACGTTATTCATCAATGATCTAGGAAAATGTCTCAACTCACCTTTTTTCTCTTCTGCCATTTCCAGTGTCCCGGAAACCTTTTGCGAAAGGGTTGTTGTCTATTTTTAACTGAGTTATCTACCGGAGGAGACACAGGGAGAAAGAGACATTAGCTTCCTTTTCTAGAATGTTTTGGGAGGGTTTCCCCCAACCCAGCCATCTCCTAGAAATGTGACTGTTAACAGAAGACCTACACATACAAGTAGGCCAGGTGGGAAGAGAAAGGAAGCAGGCTGGAGGTCCAGTTTGCAGGGCGCTGAGAGAAAAACCAAAAAAAAAAAAAAAAAAAAGTCTCCAGCGATGGCTTGTTCTTCCCAGAGAACAGGCCAACCTAGGAACTCCAGGGCTAAATGATCCAACCGGGAAATGCCTCCCTTTCTTTGGGCAGACGACAGCTAGAGTTTGGCCACGGAAAAGTTTGCCAAAAGGGGCAACCTGCAGATTCTAAAATTATGTTTTCACTTTGATTTTCTCATCCAATGCAATTAATCATAAAACACATTATGGCGCACTCCCTGTCCTCAAACACACACACACACCAACCTTTTCCATGAATCTAATAAAGTAATTTATGGCGTTTCACTACCCTGGTGCGGGAGTGGATTTTATTTATTTATTTAATTCTGGCTTGGGGAAGGGGGTGGTAAGGAATTACAATACTGACAATTACAGATGAAAAGGGAGAGAATGACCCCAGGACACATTTCTTTTCATTTATATGCTTTGCCACCGCCATGAGGTAGAGGAGGCCGGTGGTCTCTTTGTGTGACCAGAAACATTTCATTTTGTTGTTACATTAACAACTTGGTTTTTTGCAGGATTCCAAGTCTAGAGATGTTATCTTCTGGAGAATACCAATGAGAAAGAAAAAAAAAAAAGAGCCATCATATGTAATCAATCTTTCCAATCCCTTCCCTTTGGGGGAAACAATTATATAAACGGAGCTCTCCAGAGGTAAGAAAAGGGTCCCTTGGTTGGATTCTTGTTCTTGGAATTAATGGCTGTGTGTGAGTTCAGGTCTGCTTTGGGCAGGGACAGGCGGTCATCCTGTCATAGTCGCTAGACTAAGGAAACAGGTTTGGGACACCCCCATGGTGTACCTATGATGAGAGCAAGTAAAAATGCAGGGTGTTGTGGAGTGAGCTGGGCTCTCACTGGGAGGGGGGTGTCCTCAGCCCCCCTTTCTGTAACTGTCACACTGGGGACTGGTGGTTCAATAGCTCAGGTCACTTTCTCTGTGTCGGTGCAGTATACACCTGCCCGTGACTCTCAGGTCACCATAATCTTAGATCTCAGGGGCTGCCTGTGGCTCCCTTGGGGGTGCTCCTAACCCCTGGCCTCAGGCCCAAGGGAGGGGAAAAGAAAAAAAAAAAAAAAAAAACTTTGGTTACCTCCTCTCCAAAGCCTCAAACAACTCGATTAGCATGATCCTGTGATCCCTAGGTTTTTCCAGGCACCCATACACACACACATACACACACACACAAATCATAAAAAACACAGCAACATAAAAGGTAATAAAAACCAGACCAGCTTCTCCAGATTCCTGGCTAGGGGAGAAAAGCAGGTCTCCACGAGGATTCTCCTCCCAGGTCCCCAAATGGCTCAGGGCTTTGACTTTTGAGCCCATTCATTTCAAACCTGACTTTCTTGATGGTCTTTCCTGAAAGGGACATTTAATGAACCTCAAAGGATACAGGACAAAGTCCAGTGCTGGGGGGAGGCCGCACCAGCGTGTGGGCTACAGGGGTTTCTCATTGGCAAAGTTAGTTTAGCGTTTTGTACGCGACTGAATTCCTAGCTAGTCTAGTTTTTTTTTTCCCTTGCTCCCAGAGGTGCCAGCGCCCCCTTTTTTCCAAGTCCCACTGTCGGTCTTAACACAACAGAGAACTCAAGAGTCCCACCCCAGCTGTCTTGAAACTTGCTCATCCTTACCCAAAGCAGCTGGAAGGAGAGGAGAAATACCTTCAGTGCAAAGAAAAATCCCATTAGGTTACCTTATCATTCTGATAGGCCGTCACAGCGATAAACTCGGTTTCCGGGAACAAGTATGTCCGAAATGTACTATAGGGAAGTTTCAAGATGTCATTGGCCCTGACGATGTGGAAACGGGGCTGGTACTTGTGCATGGAGTTCAATATAGTCTGCAGGGCAGGGCGGAGACACACAGAGAAAGAGGATTTAGCAGGATAACAGGGATCTGAGGACACCCCTGCCAAGCTGACATCTCCCCACCGCAGGGTACCAAGCTTGGACCGAGCCCACCTCCTTGGGGTACGGTACCTCCTTGGGTACATTTCACTCCACGGATGTTATCTTCTGGAGAATACCAATGAGCTCCTCAATTTCCAAAGGGTCACCCCCCACCCTCACCATCTAAGGTTCATTCGTACCTTGAACCCTAGCCTACCTGAGTACCAAAACTATAATTCCCCTGCCACGTTGCGTGATCACTTGGGAAGGCCAAAGTCTTAAAAGATAGAGAAAAACATGCATTTTAATTTACAAAATGATCCAGGACTTTAAGCGCCCACTAATTGACGAGCCCAATCCACTTAAAGTCCCTAAAAGGCTGAACTCTAGAGAGGAATAGTTATGCCTTAATCAAATCAAGGCTGCAAATGCAATTCCTGCCGGCAAGAGACATTTCCTTGCCATTCACGTCTTCCTGGGCCTGATCTTTCTGCTTATTCCCCGCTTATCACTTTGTTTATTTTATTGAAATGTTGGGGAGGGGTAAGGGAAAGGGCAAAAGGTCCTTGGCCTGACTTTTCCAAGCAATTCAAGTTTCCTCCATGTTTCTGAGTGCTCTCGCACTGAACCCAACACACGCGACACCCATACAATCTTTACACCGAAGAGCCAAGTCCCTCATTTCAAGTCAACCTGACTTTCACATAAGCCCAATTATTATTATTTTAAAAGTACAAGGAAACCCAACTTTTAAAAATGTATTCACACCATTCAACCAACGTAGTCAAGGTTCAGAATCTTAAAACTCTCCCAAGAAATAATATGGCTGGTTTCAAAACAGGAGCATAATAGTTTAAAATAAAAACAAATGCATGATGAAATCCATTATGAAATGGATTTGAGATCGGAATGATTTGTTTTTAAGTTCACTATCAGGTCAGGAATTGGCCAAGAACCTGGAGCTGCTATGGAACGGGAGCCAGTTAAGTGTTCCCGCCTGGTTGCTTTCAGAACTCCAGGTCTCCCATTACCCGAAGAAAAACACCCCAGAATTCTCTGTTGCAGATCCAACAACTTTGCTACGGTTAACAACAGAGACCAAGCCAGGGAGACTTCTGAGCAGAAACACCCTATTTTAGAGGGAACAGAGACCCACTGTCTTTGCTACAGGGGCGAAAGGGAATTTTACTGATGGGAACAGTGAAACTTACAAATCCGTGTTTGTCCGAAATGTTGTTGGTGAGTTTCAGTTTGTGGAAAGTGACGACTTTGGACATCCACTGCTCCCCAGTGGCCGGGCTGTCCGGGTGAATATACATTCTCTTTGGCATTTCAGGGTCAGCCTTGCCTGCCACCATCCACCGAGAATTGTGAAATTTATACCGACAGTCATCAGCAGCTATAATGTCCATCAATAAAATATATTTGGCTTTCTTATCCAGCCCAGAACATCTCACTTTGAATGGAGGAAACATTCGCCTACAATTGCAGAGAGAAAAAGGAAAAAATTTTTTTAAATCACTTCAAACCCAAGATTTGTATCCTAAAATATTTAAACCATGATGAAAACTTCCTATGGTGACAGACGAGTGAGCTTATATTTTTAAGTCTAGGGCCAAATGGGATACAGCACTGCTTCCTCCTTCGACGTCTGAAGTAGTAACTATGCTGCGTGTTCCTGTCTTCAAAAGGCCCGAGATTCAGAATAATTATGGCACTGCATTTCTCTGTATCTTCTAATAATTTTTTAAAAAATCATTTTCTCTGTTTGACTTTACAGGCTGTTCCCTGCATGGACATTCTTGTCCACATCTTTTTCTGTAGGTGTCTAGTTCTAAACAGCCTGGGGTGGGACTGAGTTAAGTGGCCAGAATTGTCTGCCACCCATGGATGAGAAAATGTTCATCTTACCAAGGAAGTAAAACGTCAAGTTACCCGCCTCCCTGTTGCAGAAGTGCAGTCCCGCTGCTAGCGAAATGAAACTGCCTTCCAAGGAGTTCTGCAAATGAATTCTGCAGATCGGGCCGGACTTGGGGCCTGATCACCAGCTTGCCCTGCGCTGCTAACCACATTCCCCGACTCCCCAGGCCAGCCTCAAACTGGAGGATCGTGCCACCCAATTGCTGTTTAATTCCTGCAAGTGTTGGCATTCACTACTCTTGACTTAAAAGGAAACCCATCGCTGGGAAAATGACAAAATAGTTTCTGGGTCCTGGAAGGATTTATGCCAAACTTTGGCCTCATTTAGCATGCAAGGAGACAGAAAGCTGAAGCTATCAAGAGGGGAGTTTTATTTTTGTCCTCTCAACTGTAAGCCTTTCTAGATTCCAATGCCATAAAAAGGAAACCAGTGATTTGAAATGACTGTCGTAGGACTCTTCCATTCCAGCAGGTTTCAGACAGGCAGGTCCTCTAACATTATGTAAAACGTAGTTTATAATATTTGCACATAAAACAGCAGTGTGTGTCTCCCCATTGGCTCCCTAGGTCTGCAGACATAATGTTAATTATCCAAAATTCCCTGCTGACCACCCCCTCAGCTCGCAGACTGTGAAGTGGTGTGAGCAAACAAACTCCAAAGCCTTTCCATTCCGTCTGTGCAAACGGGCTCAGGGCCCTTCCAGACCTAGAAACCAGGCTGAAGGGCAGAAAAGGTGGGGGACAAATGCCAGGCCTCTCACTACCACACAAAAGGGCTGTAAGTTTTGTGGCTTTTCCCCCCCTCAGCAAGATAAAAATGTAACATACAAAACACAACCCCAACAAAGAAGAATGTTCCAGGAAGGTTTGAACTGCGAACTTCCTGCAGTGGGATGGGTTCCCTGTTTCTTGCAAAAATCTGTGCTCCTGTGAAAAAATTGTCTATCTATCCAGCCGGGAACACAGGACGCAGACCTAGGTAGGAAAAACTGCCAGCCGTAGACGCCCAGGTAAGCTGAAATTTCCTGCCGCTGGGGCAGGGCCCTGAGTCTGCACAGAGTTCTAGGGAAACTAAGTTTTCATCCAAGGCTTAGGAACTGGCAAACCCAGTATTCTGGGAGGAGAGAAATAAAGAGGGAAGAACCTCCAATAGCTTTTGGAGAGGGGGCCCGGTGGCTTACCTTCCGGACTTGGTAATCACCATCTCCGTGCCTCGCTTGTGGAATTGATCCCAAAGCTCTTTAGCCTCGAGGTGCACCTTGGGGTCGTCCTCCACCTCCTCTTCGGGCTCCATGGTCTTCAGAGGCCTCAGATGTGCCTGTGGCCCCAGGGACGAGAAAGGGATGCCGGTCTCGGCTGCCCCCACCAATTGATCCATGATCGGCTTGGCCAGAGCGCCCGGCAGCGAAAGCGCCGCGGCGCCGTTGGGAGGCAGAGTCAGCGCGGGGAAGAAGGGCGGCTGGTGACCCAGCACCGCGCTCATGGCGAAGTCCGGCGCCCGGTGAGGTAGGAACGGATGGTAAGCCATGCTTGTCCCAGGAATGACCGGATCTCTCATGGAGAGGCTCATGCACTCCAGGCGGGGCGCTGGGCTCCAGCCGGGGACAAGTCCGCAGCTGCTGTTTTGTTTTTGGTTTTGCTTTTTTTTTTTTCCCCCTCAACAACAGAACATAGTTTAAAAAAAAAAAAAAAAAAAAAAAAAAAAAAAAAAAAAAAAGTCTCCAGCGATGGCTTGTTCTTCCCAGAGAACAGGCCAACCTAGGAACTCCAGGGCTAAATGATCCAACCGGGAAATGCCTCCCTTTCTTTGGGCAGACGACAGCTAGAGTTTGGCCACGGAAAAGTTTGCCAAAAGGGGCAACCTGCAGATTCTAAAATTATGTTTTCACTTTGATTTTCTCATCCAATGCAATTAATCATAAAACACATTATGGCGCACTCCCTGTCCTCAAACACACACACACACCAACCTTTTCCATGAATCTAATAAAGTAATTTATGGCGTTTCACTACCCTGGTGCGGGAGTGGATTTTATTTATTTATTTAATTCTGGCTTGGGGAAGGGGGTGGTAAGGAATTACAATACTGACAATTACAGATGAAAAGGGAGAGAATGACCCCAGGACACATTTCTTTTCATTTATATGCTTTGCCACCGCCATGAGGTAGAGGAGGCCGGTGGTCTCTTTGTGTGACCAGAAACATTTCATTTTGTTGTTACATTAACAACTTGGTTTTTTGCAGGATTCCAAGTCTAGAGATGTTATCTTCTGGAGAATACCAATGAGAAAGAAAAAAAAAAAAGAGCCATCATATGTAATCAATCTTTCCAATCCCTTCCCTTTGGGGGAAACAATTATATAAACGGAGCTCTCCAGAGGTAAGAAAAGGGTCCCTTGGTTGGATTCTTGTTCTTGGAATTAATGGCTGTGTGTGAGTTCAGGTCTGCTTTGGGCAGGGACAGGCGGTCATCCTGTCATAGTCGCTAGACTAAGGAAACAGGTTTGGGACACCCCCATGGTGTACCTATGATGAGAGCAAGTAAAAATGCAGGGTGTTGTGGAGTGAGCTGGGCTCTCACTGGGAGGGGGGTGTCCTCAGCCCCCCTTTCTGTAACTGTCACACTGGGGACTGGTGGTTCAATAGCTCAGGTCACTTTCTCTGTGTCGGTGCAGTATACACCTGCCCGTGACTCTCAGGTCACCATAATCTTAGATCTCAGGGGCTGCCTGTGGCTCCCTTGGGGGTGCTCCTAACCCCTGGCCTCAGGCCCAAGGGAGGGGAAAAGAAAAAAAAAAAAAAAAAAACTTTGGTTACCTCCTCTCCAAAGCCTCAAACAACTCGATTAGCATGATCCTGTGATCCCTAGGTTTTTCCAGGCACCCATACACACACACATACACACACACACAAATCATAAAAAACACAGCAACATAAAAGGTAATAAAAACCAGACCAGCTTCTCCAGATTCCTGGCTAGGGGAGAAAAGCAGGTCTCCACGAGGATTCTCCTCCCAGGTCCCCAAATGGCTCAGGGCTTTGACTTTTGAGCCCATTCATTTCAAACCTGACTTTCTTGATGGTCTTTCCTGAAAGGGACATTTAATGAACCTCAAAGGATACAGGACAAAGTCCAGTGCTGGGGGGAGGCCGCACCAGCGTGTGGGCTACAGGGGTTTCTCATTGGCAAAGTTAGTTTAGCGTTTTGTACGCGACTGAATTCCTAGCTAGTCTAGTTTTTTTTTTCCCTTGCTCCCAGAGGTGCCAGCGCCCCCTTTTTTCCAAGTCCCACTGTCGGTCTTAACACAACAGAGAA